GCTAACTAGCAGCCTCACACCGAGGACCTATCCACTTCATCATTTACCCAGAATGCTTTGCGTGTGAATAAAATGGCTCTGTCCGTGTAATATTTTTTAAACTTTTAGTTTAAAAATGATAAAAACTGAACATCCTACAGTATTTTTACAGTCTTTATTTTACAGTTAAAATATATGTTTATTAAATAAAGTCTAATGTTACAACTAATCGTGGATCCCTTTAAGTTGTACCCAAGTGTATAATCTGTGACATCTGAGTGTATTTGCTGCAGATGACACCATGGACATGTCTGCCTATATGACAAGTGACTGTAGCAGCTACAACAACACACGCCGTCACTCTCCCAACAATAAAAGCTCACTATTTTGGAGCCTAATTTTCCCTTCATGTACAATGCAGCTGCAATGACCTGGAAAAACACGGAACCAAAAGGGATTAGATAACCTAAATTAGTGGCGTGATTAGTATCACTGCAGTCACGCAGTGGATCTGGGACATAATTGGTTGGATGAGAACGAGCCCATATTGTCCAAAGGGCTCTCTTGTGATGAGTCTAAATATAGTATGATGGAGTGATGAAGCTGCAATGGAAAAATGCAGGTCTTTTTATAGAAATTTATACAAAAGAAAAATTCAGAGAATGATTTTTGCTTCAGTGGTAAAGACGTGCGTACATACCTAATATAAAAGCCATCTCCAGGAACGTCTTTGATCACGTTGAAGTCATCGAGCCGATGCTGCACCTTCAAAGTGACCGTCTCTGCAGGCTTCAGCATCTCAACGTACACCTCTTCTGCCGTCTTATTCTTCATATTCACCGAGTTGTACTGAAAGACCAGAGGAAAGAGGGAACAGGGGGGGAAAAACATTGTAAATTGAAAATAAAGGCAGAAGAAGAGTTGAGGAAGATTTACACTTTGCAGCAGTAATTTCGCCCCACTGTGAAGGCTCTGCAAGTAAATAGCTACATTTCCTCCAAGCTTTCAGCGCTATTAAAGTGTCGCAGTATTGATTCGTGCTGTGTTTGAGGGGAGAAGACGAACGGGAAGATTGAAGGACACGCTGAAGCTGTGCGGTCTGGTGACGGAGCTGCGTGGCATTTCAGACAGCAGGATCGGTGCGGCACAAAGCTAAAGTGGGAGCGTGTCGGGGAATGTCCGCTGTGAATTTGTGGTGTTCTGGAGAAATTACAAGCGTAAATGGAGACTGAGGAGATCAATGAAACAGAATGTCGTGAAGGAAAATGCCAGCACTCTCTGCCGGGATTCAAGTTTGAAGTAGCAGCAGAAAAACATGGGAGGAGTAAAAAAAAATTTCTCAAAAAGTGGCATTACACTGACATCTATACTGTTCAGGAAAAAACTTAGTTTAAAAAATGTTGAAGTACTGAAAAAATACTGACTGTATAAATAAAAGCCAACTATGTCTTCAGAAAAGTAAAAAAGCAGCGCACTCTGTTGGTTTGTTGCATTTTTGTTTTTGATTTTTTGAAACGAAAGTGTCAGAATAGCTTTTGTATGGGAAATGAAGTTAGTGCAGGTATTGCACACCTCCAGGATGAGGTCCCCAGGAAGAAGCCCATCAGGACCTCTGGCAGGACTGTCCTCATCCAGACTCTCTATGTAGACGCCTTGCAGGTTGCCCCCGCAGAGCATGACTCCCACTTCCACCCCGGGCCTTCGCACCGTGACGAGCCGAGGTTCTCCCACCTTCCTGCTGCCCTCTGATGGCATTCTGGAGGTAGAAAAATGTCACGTACTATTAGTGGTTTCGTCAAGAAATATTACATAGAAGTATTGTAACATTTATTACCCGGTGTCCATGTTTACCTGATGAAATTGTGAGGGCTGGTGGTGGGTGTGGTCTGTTTGGATGAAGGCGTGAGTGTGCCTTCGTCCTGCTCGCTGAGCGTATCGATGGCAGAGTGATTGTCAGGAGTAGGCGTCCCGCTTCCCTGCGGAGTTGACTGAGAACTGACCGGCTCAAGACGAGAACTGCAAGACACGAAGGTGAATTTACAAATTGTATTTAATGTATTTTTTTTTTTTAAATGTTAAGCTTAAAGTTTCATATCACAAACTTTATAGATTAGGACTGAGGAGTTTGTTATGAAACTTAAATTTTTGGTAACACTTTGTAATAACTACACCTTATTTAGCCTTAATCATTAATAAAGGGTTACTGAACCTTGAAAACATCATTAATTAAGGATGATTCAGACTTAATAGGCTATGAATTAACACATTTATTAATATTTTACCCATAAAGGCTAATTACTTCTAAAACCAACATACTCATTGTTTACTCATGCTTAATAACTCATGAGATAACTATTCTATATACTGTGTGTATATATGCAAATGCTCATGTAAACATACTTTCACAGCATGTGTTAGTCAGTTCAAACATTCTCTAACCAATACATGTCTATCTACTCACCCTGCAGTGCATCAGTAATTAAGGCAGGTGTTAGTAGTTAAGTCTTTTTGTGAACCCTTCCAAAGTGAAGACTATTTATGTTTATTTACGTATTAGTCGCCAATTAGTTACCAGCTTGTACCTTTCTGCCCTCTGATGTAGAAAGACGGCATTTTTATCAATTTGCGAAATTTCCCATGATGCTTTGCTCTAACCAGGAAGTTAAGTGTTTGCTCAGGCAGCAAAGCCTCATGGGAAATTTCATAATTTGATAAAATAAGAGTTTTATGGGTTTTATAAAATTTGCAAATCTATATGTGTGCTTAAATCTAATCTAAACATATCTTGTAGTTATTTGTATTATGTTTAATCTTAATATAATTTAAAGAAAAACTCAGCCCCTTATATAGTGATTGGATGAATAGATGTAATGATTGTAAGTGTACATGCAGTCTTTCTACATCAAAGGACAGAAAAGTACAAGCTGGTAAACAACTGGTGACTAATACTTAAATAAACATAAAGTCTTCACTTTAGAAGGGTTCATAAAAAGACTTAACTACTAACACCTGCCTTAATTACTGATGCACTGCAGGGTTAGTAGATAGTCAATTCAAACATTCTCTAATCAATAACACATGTCTAACACATGGTGTGAAAGTATGTTTACATGAGCAGCTGCATATATACACACAGTATATAGAATAGTTAACTCATGAGTTATTAAGCATGAGTAAACAATGAGTATGTTGGTTTTAGAAGTAATTAGCCTTTCTGGGTAAACATTAATAAATGTGTTAATTCATAGCCTATTAAGTCTGAATCATCCTTAATTAATGATGTTTTCAAGGTTAAGTAACACTTTATTAATGATTAAGACTAAATAAGGTGCAGTTATTATAAAGTGTTACCGACTTTTCTTCAAACAAGAAAAAGTATATTTAATGAAGTAACTGTTTAGACCCAAATGTTTTACCAGTTGATTTAGGAATGAGCGAAAAGATAGGAAATACAAGCCCACACTAGCAAATCTTCTCTCGAGCACAGCACAGTACCTGGAGCGAGAGTGGTTACCCAGCTGGTACATGTGTGGGTTGTACTGAGCCATGATGGTGATGGTGTCACACTGCTGGCCGATGATGAGACGGGCTTGCTGCTCTGTTGCGTTCCGCAAGTTAATACCGTTGAACTAATAAAAGATGAAATGTATAATTAGGAGGAGCTTTTGCGGATATAAAAAGTTATTAAAAGAAGCGGGAGATTGAAGACCAGCACGTGTCCAGTCTGTTAGAAGCTTTAGATGAGTTGTAACACAAAGCACCATCAGCAGCGAAATGACTGAGCTTACACAGAAGTTTATATTGTGTGTTTATTTGGTTGCCATCTTACAAATATTTGACAACACATTCTTGTTTTTTCTGCCCGAGGCTATAATCTTTGACATTTAGTAGGTTGTTCATACCTCCAGTAATTGGTCTCCATACTCCAACCCCGCCTGGTGGGCGATGCTGCCTCCAGTAACTTTAGAGACAAAGATTCCTCCGTTCTCCCCGCTGACGATGGAGATGCCCAGAGGCTCTGCACCTTTGTGCACAATGACATTGCGTGGTTCCTCCAAGTATGGTCTAATGGGAAAAAGAAAAATGAATTAATAAATAGCTTCACAGGAAAGCAGCTACAGAATGAAACACGAGAAGTCGAGAAGGTAAAAGGTGACGTGACTATCACTGCTGGGCTTAATTTATTTACAGCTCAGGGAGCCACTAACTATCCAGGCATTTGCTGGAATCACAGCTCATCTGGTTTAAAATATTAAAGCACATCAACAGAAAACCTATGCTGTGTTTCAAAGACTGTTTGAATTTCTGTAAACATCCTCTCAAGGTTGTCGGTGGCTTATTTCTTGAGCGTGTCACCTTATGCCAGGCTTACAGAAAAAAAAAATTAAAAAGGTTTAGATTACAGTGCAAAATTGAATGTGAACAGTCCAAGCGCAGGAGGAAAAATAAAAAAACTGCTTCACATGATGAAGATTTGCATGATTTTTTTGTGCGTCTTCATAACAAGGTGGTTTTGGACATGCCTTTTATTTTCATTATGACAGGTAAGAGGAAATGGATTACAGACTGGGGTAAAGAGCATGGGTGTACAAACAAGACCGTGACCCAGAAGCTGGATGTTGAATAATACATTGCATAACATATAGAGTGCAGACTAAAGGTGTATTGGCTTGAGGCAAAAATGCACACATGCGTACTGACGATGTATGGGCGGATCATGCGCTCAGATTCAAATGTGTCTTCCGACATGGAGGGAGTGATGTGCAGGCACATAAATACCACTGAACCTTTGAAGTTAACCAAGTGTATCTAATCAAGGTTTGTGTGTGTCTTAAGGCAAAGATTACACTGCTGCATGCAAAGAAATCTCTCCAAATTAAACAGCTATCTTGGGGTGGGTAATAAAACATCACAAAACCTCTTTTTGCATTCCAGAGTACTCGGCTTCTTCAGAGGATTTGCATATCTATCATCTCATTTGCACTAAAACAAGTGAACGGTGTGAACTTCAGGGGACGAGTGGTGGCATTCCTCAGTTTGTAGCACTGTGAGAAAAAACAAACCTGAGGCTCCTGAGAGAGGAGAACCTCGGCCTTGCAGCCAGAGGAATCCTTAGAAAAGAGCGATTACGATAAAGAGATCTGGAAGTGGAGGGGTTGCAAAGGTGTGGAAGGAGGATAAAGAGAAGAATGGGGGACAGATATCATACAGAGACAGTAAGAATGTAAAACGTTTGAGACGTGTTGCTTATAAAACATGGACAGAAATGTAGGACAAATGGATGAAATACACTGGTCAACTGGTAAATCTCTGTTGGTCTGGTAACAGAAAAAACCTGCAACAAAATTAGTGAGTTTTAATAAGATTTCATGAGTAACTGCATAGTTTTATTATAAACTTATTGCTGAGCAAAGCTTTTCAAAAAAGCCTGATAATATCGCTTGAAGCCATAAAATATCAGATTTCAAATAAAACCTACCATTGTACTACACCGTCATGTATATTAGTATGACAAGGAAAAATCAGATGAGCTACACTCCAATACCAACAGGCCATCTGAAAGGTTTCTATTTCGCCAAAGATTATGAAAACGTTTTAGAATATCAAGTAGATGCAGTACAGCATGTAACACAGAGGAGCAGCACAACGGTGTGAACATCTTGTACCTGTCCTTCCTGCGCTCCCCCATCGGCACGGGACTGACTGAGATCCGAGGTAGGGTTGAAACAGAGCTTTGTGATTGGGTGCTGGCAAACGAGGAAGTCTCCAGATTGAGCGGCGACTGTGGAGGCGTGATGAGGCTGGGACTGCTACACTCAGAGTGCGAGAGGGAGCCTGGATTTTGGAAAGGATGAGCAGAAAGGGACAAAGTGTGTAGTGTAAAAAGAAAAATCGAAACACCACATAATAGTAGTCGTAGCTGAATTTATTTAACTGAATATCAGCCACTATATGCCATGGCAGCTAAATGTAAAATCTTGTTGGCTACGTAGTCCTGGACATGGTAACTTTTATTTTGCTCACATGATATTTGTTTTAGATCCCTTGCTGTCACTGAAGTGTTATTGTTACGTTTCTAGGTGTGAACAGATGTGAAACAGAGAGTCAAGGCCACACTCTTGTTGTAGGTGAAACCGGAAGCCACTTCTTTTGTGTAGTGCTGGTTTCTCCAGTTTAAAAGATAGTTTCAGAGAAGAGTGAAGGAAGCTATCTGTTGCCAACACATGTAGTAGTATTATTCTAATTCTTGAGCTGAAGTTTGACCCAGGAGCAATCAACATATCTGAAGTAATAGCTAGGTGGTGTTCTCTTTTGGTAAGCTGCTTCCCTCATGTGAAGACTGAACACAAGAAGTAACACTTTAAAAAACATTTCGTTGTATGTGACAGAGAAAAGGCCTTTTAGATGAGAGGGTAAATGTCAAGAACTAAAAATAAAAACTAGTTGCTTTCTAGGATATTGTATTATATCACAGCTGCGGCTGCCTCCACTTCACTGTGTGAAAAAAAACAGCAATAAGAATCTGTGTAGATCTGCTCATTTGGGGAATCTTGCTGTTTAGTGTCAGTTTTCACGACGAACACATTACCTCTGTCTGAACCCAGCATGGAGCGGAGATAACGGGGTGTGGAGGGGATTTTGATCCTCTCTGCGCGATACTGAACGTTACTGGAAGAACCTGCAGACAGACGAGGTCCAGGCATGAATTCGTTGATGCCATATGCCAAAATACAAAGCCACGTGGGGTCTTTGAGCCTTCTTATGTGCGTGTGTGCGTGCGTGAGAGACTGACCGAGCCGTGCGCTGGAGGGCAGTGAGTTTGTACCGTGTGATGCTCTGCTGCTTCGTGACGAGGACGATTCTGAGTAGTCGTTTGATCGCTTCTGCTGGCTCAGATCCAGGCTCAGACGACCCTGGTGTTGTGGGCTGCACAAACGGACCGTTAGCATAAAGGTTGTTTGAAATGACAGCTCCGAACGTTGAATCAAAAATTACGAGGACTACAAAAAGAGAGAACCTGGTATGGGTTTGCTGGTGACATATCTGAGATGCTACAGATGGACAGTTGCTGGTATGAACACGGTGACTGCGCACGGTATATACTGGATTCCTCATCACGGCTGTCACTGCGGGGCAGGGAGACAGTCCACGGTGGGCTGAATCTGGAAACCCGTGGAAGAAAGAAGAGATTATAACGCTGCCAATACTTAGGCAAGTAAAATCCGAGGAACTCACTTGGAGGTAGGCTGCCACTGTAGTGTGTGGGGACAAAGCCGACACTGTGTCTATGAGAGCGGCTGGGGGAGGAACGCAGCATGTCCCTGGGCTCTGGTGAATGCTCGTCGTTGGAGTAGCTCTGAGAAGAATCACAGACAAAAGAAGATGTCTAGAGAATAAAGTTTCACAGCTTTTTTTTTTTGGTAGGGGGGAAAAAAGAGCATCCCACAAATGGTAAAATGAATATTTATCACCACTACATTCCCCCCTGGGTGTTTCAAGGCCCAGGGAAGTAGCTGAACAGGTTGTCAAAAACCAGATTCTGACTCAGCTCCTGAACTGAGCAGCTGTACTGGTACTGTAACATCAATCACTCTGACACACAGGCCAAGAGTCAAATCCCAGTGGCTTAACTCTGACAGGCAATATATTATATTATAAAACGCACACTTTGGCTAACAGCATCCTGTTTAAAAGCCCTGTTGAGAATTTTTCTTAAATACAATTTGTACTTTTTTGTCAGAGGAAACGAATTATAAAATACATTGAACTAATATGATAGAATCTTTCAAATGATGAATTTTAGGAGAAAAGTACAGTAAAAGAACTCACCTGAAAGGTGGGGAAAGTGATGGTCTGAGGGGTCATCTTACGCCGAAGCGCAGGAGCAGATTTAGGGCGCGGTCTCTTCACCTCCGGCTCCTCCCCTCTGGTGCGACCAATGTCCTCGTCACATGACTTCCTTGAGGTCAAGACCTTTCCTTCCAGGAAATAGTGGTTTCCGTTCCTGTCTCGCTCGCGCTCACTCCTCTCTCTGCTCTCCCCTGCTGCCATGGAGGTGGCAGACTCCCCTTTGCCCTCGGAGGTGATCGTGCAGTCGGAAGCGGAGCTGCTTTGATGCTTGTGTTTGAATTTGAAGGAGTCACTGCGAGTGGGTGGGGTTGGAGGGGTCGGGGTGGGTGTGGAAGAGGAAGAGAGGGACTCGGTCTTTGAAGGCTGCGGGGAGTGAGAAGCGGCGGCGGCTACTGCTGCAATCTGATTGGCTGCCATGTACTCCATCTTAGAGGAAGGTGTTTCGGGGCGTTTGAAAGTGTCTGGGTCAAAGATGGACTTCCTCTGCTTGGGTGATTTATAGATGGAGAGTGGCGTGACTGCTGTGACCGGGCTGGAATTGTCTGGTGCCACCAACATACTCCCTACCATCATTTTGGGCCACGTGCCACCGCTGTGCTTTTTCTCCAAAGTGGTTTCCACACTGTTACAGTCAGAGGGCGAAACGGGCTCAAAGGGCAAAGAGGAAGGACCCTTCACATATGAACAGCACTCTTGGAAAGCACTGGGCCCATAGCGGCCGGTCCCCAAGTCTGTCACCGGTCGAAGACTAGTGGCATGAAGAGAACCTGTGGAGAACGGCTTGCTTATGTCGCCGTACAAATCATCAGATTCACCTCTGACCTTCCTCCTCTCCCCAGAGATGCTGCTCGTGCTGGCGCTTCCAAAGTCGGGGCAGAAGATGTCGGTCTGTGTCGAGCTGTTGTGTTTGAGGTTGCGGCTGTTCCTGGAGTGGATCTCTGACAAGTGAACGCACCCGTTGGACTTCTCTGATGAGTCACGCAGGCCCTCATAGATGTTCTGGCCAGATGTGCTGTGAGGGAAAAACTGTGGGGACAAAGGACAAAAGACAAAATCAGAGGAGCAGCTTTATAATGATTAAAAATACATCGGCTAACTCCGCAAATAAAGCTGCAAAACCACAATGTGGGGCACGCAGGACAGGCTTACCTTCATGAGCGAAAGACTAAGAGAGTCTCTGCAGCTTCTCAGCAGAGCCTCACACTCTGTCACAGACTTGTTATCAAGAGCAATTCCATTGATCTGCACAGAGACAAATGCCATTCAAAGCAACAGCAATAGACAGCAGGTATTTCAACTACGGTAATATCCAGAGGCGATTGCTCTAAGACTGCAAGGGAAGTTCAGCTTCCCCTAAAATGTCAAAAAAAGTGATCAAATATATAATGTTGTGAGTACATGTCACTGACTAAATATGTGCTACAACGCGCTCAACTTTGTTCAGAATCAGCTTCTTATCACTGGTAACGACGCGGCTTTCCTCCCACTCATTCCTGTAGTTTCACGGTGCTTTAAACAGTGCGGACGCTCGCAAAGCAAAAAGTGCAGCGAAACGAGACGAGTCATTGGATAAATGCTGGGCTTTGTCCCACCCATCAGATGCCCAGCGTCTCTGGGGGTCTATGGGCAGTGGGCTGGCTTCGGCTGGCCCAGATGCTCAACTTCTGCATGATGATTGGATCTATCATTCTGAGGCTGAATCTCTTTTTGATTGACAGAGAAATGAGCGAATCAGAGATCTTTTGGTGTAAACATCTGTGGGAGCGTTTATTAATTTTCATTCTGTTCTGAGTTGAACCGGAGACTTTCCTAAACCTCTTAGCTGCATTTTCTTTGTTAAAAACGACTAGTGACAAATCGAGCTTCTATTTCTATTTCTGAAATTGAGCTTCCCCTCCTTGAAAGATCAGCATCCGCCACTGGTTATAACATATCCATCATTTGCAGTTTTCTTAAAATGGGAAGACGGATAAAGCGCTGTGTTTCAAGAATGTAGAGAATGCTTGGGGGAAACTGAAAGGTCTGTTGATTTTAAATCAGTAATAAAAACAGACTTTTTTTAATCCTTTTAAATCATTTCTCACATTTCTCTATCAAGGTTCACTGCACCTCCAGAGACAGATCCAAGCTAGTCCTATGGGATAGCAAACTTTTAAAGCTTTAACAAAAAGGTGGAAACTTTTCTGCTTCTACTTCACAAACTCTAATCTAACTTTAACTTGGTTTGGCGTGTGGGTTCTTAAATGGATCAATGTCTGTTTTTTAAGTTGAGGGAACCTGTGTTAACTGCAAATTGAAAGATGTGGAAAACAGACGTGTAGAAAAGGGTTGAGAATGACTCACAGCGATCAGTCTGTCTCCAACTGTGAGAGAGCCCTCCCTGGCTGCAGGACTTCCCTGGACGACAGTGGTAACAAACACCCCGCTTTCCAGACCAATACCACTGTCTGAGATACAAAGAAGAAAATGAAGTTATAAAGAGTAAAATAAGACATGGGAAAACAAATCAATGGGAATATTTAAACCCTAACAGACCTTTATGTCCCATAAGGTTGATGTGAACAGGAGTAACCAGCCGTCCTCCCAGAGATTTCCTTCTTCGTACCACCATATTGATCAACCCTCCTCCGTTAAGGACAGCCTTCATCACCTGCTTCCTGTCCTTATTGGTTAAGTCGATGTCATTAATCTTCAGCAACCAATCATTCACTCTGAACCAAAAAAGAAGTTACAATAAGGGATTCAATGGGAATATTAACCCACTCCAAAACAAATACTCGTTAACTAAGACAGTTCATACCTTAACCTTCCATCTGCTATACTTCCTTTATCCACTCTTGTAACAAATAATCCACACTCTCCTGGTAAATACGGATCATTTACCCCCTCTGCAATATCAAACCCGAGCGCCTTCAAATCCATGTCATCCTTTGAAGACGGTAACAAAGTCAACTCATTTAAAAAATAATTAAGTTTAATTTATTTCCATTGGTCCAGTGAACTTTTCTGGGCTTTTTGAGACAAAACACATCAGCTCACCACTCTGAGTCAAGTTCTTACCCTGTCTTTCTCAAACTCCACCACCTCTGTCTCCCACTCCAGGGAGTCTGTGTCAATGGCAGAGTCATGAGAGCTGTGGGCCATCAGCTGACAGAACCGAGCCTCCTTCTCAAGCTGGTTCTCCATCTTTTCCCTAGACAAAAACAGAAGGTCAAAGGTCACTCACTCATACATATCAGGGCTGTGTCTCGATTTAGGGGTTACAGTCGACGTAGGTCACATTTGTCGGCCCGTCACGTCACTGAGTTGTGCAGTAGGCTGTCCTAATTCGTAGACGTCTACTCATACAGCCGACAAAACCTTGAAAACGCAGGCTACATCAGAGTATCTTATGCTGTCGACAATATCCCAGGATTCATTATGCTGTCAACAAAATAAACAGAAAAATGAAGACGGCGGTGGTTTTATTTTAGGGCAGAGGTTGTTTTTTGTTGTTGTTGTTTTTGTTTTTTTTACAGCAGAGTTTGGAAATTTATTTGCTTGTTGTTATTTATTGTTACATTTGTTTTTAAATGTATGTTTAGTACCCTGTAATTACAAGTACTGTTAGTGAAGCTAAACCCCAATTATTAATGTTATGTATTTATTTACGTGCAAAGTTTGTTTTTTTTAATATTACTAAATGTTGTGAAGTTATATCGTGAAAAGACAACTAAAGGCATGTGATATAAAATGTAACACCATAACAGGGCAGCGCATGATCACCCAAAGGACCGTCTCATTACACAGCTGTTTATGCAGCCTACAAGGGCAGCCTACATAGGCCGCGATCTAGGTGGGTGACCAGCAGCAACCCCTGAATTGAGTCGCAGCTAAAGTTGTTTTTCAAAAATTCTCACAAGTTTTAAAAAGATCAAACACCTCCAAGTTGTATGGATGCGAGAATATATCTATATTTAAATCAAAAGGCAATTAAAAGTAGATTGCACACAAAGTCACGTTGCTGGTAAAATATAGAATGTCCTACAGAGGCCTGTCTACAGGGCAGCACTGACATTCAAATCCCAAAAGGTGCAATGTTCTTTAAGGAGGACAGAGGGAAAAAATAAAGTCACTCCATATAAAATCAGCACACAGAAGATAAATTAAACCTCCATGATAAAAACAGGTGACTAGATTGCATAGGACACAATAAAACTCACATGTTATAGTTAGGTAATACTATCATACAGGCAAACAGACTAGTGTCTAAACTCCTGCCTGAAAGTAAACACCACTGCACAGCTTTGGATCAAACAGTTGTCATACACCCTTTCACCAGCAGATGGAGCGTTTACATTTAGAATTTTAAAAATGATGTACACAGAATTAGAGACAGTGAGAGATAAAATGTTTATATGTGCTCAAAACACTAATGCTTTCCGGGATTAAACTTTAATCTGGGTAAATGGAAGCGTTGCCAAAAAAACAACCAAGCTCCATAATAACCGAGTACGAAAGCCAAGTACAGCACAGGCTGAATCCTAAGCAGGAAGAGAGTGTATCCAAGAGGATTTTTTTTGTACATATCGCAAACAAGACGAAAGAAAAAAAAATTAAAAATCTCAGTGACTGACTTTAATTCTTTGAGCTCTCGCAGTGTGTCGTTCTTCTGTTTCCTCATATCATCCAAGTTACGCAGGGCATCGGCCAGATCGCTGACTGCCCGGTCCCTCTCTCGCCGTAGGTTGTCACACAGAGTCCTGGGGAGGGACAGAAAACAGATGGTGTGAAAATGTGGAGGGGATTCAACATATACTAAAAAAAGGACGTAAAAAACCTGTGGTACACTACTCTGCTCTATCATTTTTTTCCTTTAAAAAAATAACAGACTGACCTTATGCTCTCCCTCTCCGCCACTATTTTGTCCCTCTCTTGGAAGGCCCAGTCCCTTCGACATTTGGCCACCTCTGCTTCCTGAGTGGCCTCCTTCAGCTCTTGTGACATGGCCTCATACTGCTTCCTCAGCACCTCAATCTCCTTATTGGCTCGTTCCATGTCCAGGGTCGCAGAGTCTTGTTTCTGGGGACATTAATCAAATATTAATTTTAAAAAATAGACAGTGCTGACTCTTTATTTGTAATAAAATTCTACTGCTAATAAAGTTACCGTAAGTTAAAGTTTAATAAATTACAGAGACAATAAGGAAAGACAATGTGCCAGAAATTTTTTTTTGTGATGCCAGGTGTTAAATATTAGCAAGTGAAGGTAAACTTGGACTTTTCCTTTTCATTCAGTTGAGAGCCAGTCAATGTTGAGTTCTGTATTCTCTTTTCTGTAAATCATCTCTGGCATAATAATAAATAAGAAGCTATCCCAACTCATAAATCCTTACAGCCTAATGAAGTTACCATCCAGAGTGATAAATTACAATGGTGACAGAATGAATGCCTACATTCTCTTAGATATCAACAGTGCTTTTTCTGTTTTATGAATAGACAGTGGTATTGTGCGTTTGTACAACCACAGTAGATTTAACATCTACAGATGAAAATCAATCATTAAGATGTCTGAAGTTCTCAAGCTGATCCCATCAGCAGCTGTTGAAACACTCAGCTCATGTGATTTTCTCTAAACACAAGATGTACGAGTTTCCAAATAAGCTGGGTAAGTGCTTGGCAAACCTAGTAAGGAATGTGATTCATAGGCTATGACAGAAATAATGAATGAGGTAGGAAAAATAGTAGACCATAAAGATATCAACAGATGCTTTTAGTGGTTTTATCACAGAGCAGTGCATCATTACTTGTCTGGCCTGATAGTATTCTCGGAGAAGCTGATCCCTTTGAATGATGGCCTCAGTCCTCTCCTTCCGGGCCACGTCCCTCTCCTCCCGGACCATCTCGATGTCTTTGCAAGCCTGGCTCAGCTCCTTTTGGGCCTCTGCTTTGTCCTTCACTTCGTGGCAGTACTTCTCCAGTAGCTCGTTTCTCTCGCAGATGGCTCTGTCACGGTCCACCAGCGATGAATTCAACTCCTGTCCCAGAACAAAATGTAACATGAAACATGGACCGACTCAACTCTGAGCCATTTATGGTTTTATAAAAAATAATGAGGGGAATTGCATTTTTTTAACCAATAAGAGGACAATTTTCTGGCAAGTTTTGTAGTGTATCAAAAGAAAAATCCCAATGCTTTGAGAGATGAGCAAAACTAAAACCAGTTGCTAAAATATTTAGATAATAGAAGTTCAGAGCTATACATATATTTGATGGATACAATTAAAGTTGAAGTTATTTCTCAAACTATATTTGCTTCAAAAAGAAACATTTTACCAACTTTTTAAACCAGTCTTAAGAAATATTTTACATAGTAGATTGTGAGTACATCTGAGAACATTTATTTGCTAGCTACTTGGTAAAAAATAACTATAAAAAGTTATATAAACCTGTTATATGTTATTTCTTTTTTATTAACAGTTACTAATAGTGTTCAGAATAAATGACGTGATTAGGTAGAGCAGGGGTTCTTAACCTTTTTGACCTCGGGGCCCAATTTATTGAACATAAAGTGGCACGAGGCCCAGTCAGACATTACCAATGTATGGATCAAAAATGATAATTATTCTAAATCTTGGTTTAATTTTTGTTGTATTTACATTATAACTAAATTAAATACACTTACATTTTAAAAGTAAAACTCCTGTCAAATAATCACAAGACATGATTATGACAAACATTTTTAAATTGTAACCTGTCCATAACAATTATTTGAACAAATACAAAGGTCAGTCAACAGACCACTCAGGCTTATCAGCACAAAATTATATACAGTATTTTTTAACATAAATAACAAAAATAGAAAATTCAATAAATAAAATTGAGGGCATAAGATAAATACATTAAAAATGTTTAAATGTTTCAAATACAAAAATACTGTAAAACTAAATTTGATAAGTACAAATGAAAATATAGCCTTTTTAAACTTTTGCATGGTAGAAACAGAAGCTGCTCTTCATATTAGTGACAAACAGTAACAACAGCTTTTTGACAAGTTTAAACTTTCTTTAAAATACATTTAAAATATTTTAAAAACTACAAAAAATAATTTAATAAAGTGCAAATTAAAATATAGCAGTATCTGCAAATGTATTTGATAATGTTTTGACCTTTTAAAATATTGCATGATAGAAACAGAAGCTGCTCTTCATATTAGTGAAAAATTTTGGCCTTTTTTGATGGGTTACGTTCATTTTTTGCCTAGTTTTCATTTAAAATAAGTTTCCGTTCTCGGCAGGTATCTAAGTTTCTTCTTCTGCATATTAAAAAAGTTGTTTAACAACTAAGTGGCGCACTACTGCTACTAGTGGTGAGAAAGTGTATTGCACCTTGTTCAAAATCAATGCGGTCCCACGGCCCTCTGCGGCCCAAAGTTAAAAACTGTTGTTCTTTTGAGGCCCTCAAGGTGGCGCTCGCGGCCCAATTAAGAATCTCTACACATGGAAAGGTAAAAGTGCTCTGGATATTTACAGGTAAAACAAATATCTAAGGTGAAGCTGCGAGTTTACACCAGTCTTAAGTCTGATACCTGTTTGAGTGCCTCCAACTCCTCACTGGCCACGACCCTCTCTGATGAAGTGTTCTTCAGTCGAGCTTCAGCTGCCTCCAGCTCAGTCTGCAGCTTGTCCAGCTCCTTGATCACCTGGTCCCTCTCGCTCATGATGAGGCGATACTCGTTGAACACGGAGTCCCTCTCCTCCTTAAACTTCTCGCAGTCCTTGGCCGCCTTCAGCTGCAGGTTCTTGTAGCGCGTCACTTCTGACTGCAGCCGCTCCATCTCTCGCTGCAGCTCTTTGTTCTGAGCAGAGGACTTGTTCAGCTCCTGCTGCACTGAATCAAACCTTGGAGAGGAGAGGCTAGCAGTGAGCACCAAAGGGCCAAACTCTAACAGAAACAAGAAATAATGTCTGACTGCTATTTATTATGAGACTACTATAAATTACTATAAATCTATAAAGCACTCACACCATTGAGATAACTTTTTCTTGTGTATGTTTTTTCAGCACGTCTCTCGTTCTGCAATTTTTGTGCTACTTAATATTTTTTTTACTTCTTTGTGCTAATTTCAGCTTCCTTTAGCTTCTGTTTAGCTTATTTTAGCCTTTTCCTGCTTTTTTAGCTTTCATTTTTAACTTTTCTGCTATTCTTCTGCTCACTTAAACGTTTTGTGCTTCTTTCTGCCATTTTAAGCTTTTTATGTTTCTTTTGGATGCTTTCTGTTCATTTCAGCAGTTGTCTGTGCTTTTAGCTACCTTTTAGCTAATGTGAGCTTTTTTTTCAGCTAAATTGACCTTTTTGTGATAATTTCAACTTCTTACTGCTTAATTCAGCACATACGCCCTTTCTGTTTTTTCGTGCTAATTTCAACTACTTTTCTGTTTTTTGTAAACTATTTTAGCTTTTTTAGGTATTCAGCAAAAATCTTTCAGCATTAAGCATTCACACCGCATTTCTGTAGGACATGCAAATTCCCCAGGTTCATAAGCTGTGCTGTTGTGTCATTACGTGGTTTCGATATTGATTTAAACAAGAGATTTCAACCTAAACCAAAAATATTAATAACACCATCTCTAAGTGTGCTTCATCTTGTCTGTGTGTGCAGGTGTGATCATGTTCTCACCTCCTCACTGAGGTGGAGTACTGCTGCTGGTAGTGCATGGCTGAGTCTCGCTGTTTAAGCAATGCATCCAACTGCTTCTGCAACCTCCGGTTCTCTTCCTCAGCCTGCTCCAGACGACTCAGGTCAGTGTTATGACTGGCCACCTTCTCGCTGTAGCGTTTGCTCAGGGCATCGTAGTCTTTCTTTACAACCTCAAGCTTGTCCATAGTTGTTTCGTACAGCTTGTTTAAAACCTCAGACGAGCCCTTCTCTCTCATTACCTGGTGAGGACAACAAAAGTCTCATGTTGTAGCATCATTGAGCTTTAGGTAGTTATCAAATTGGCATTAGCTTACATTTGCTATACCCCATCTTAGCAGCAGATGGTGATAATGTGCAGATAATGTGTTTTTACAGTACATGAAAAACTAGTGGCTTCTATATAATTTGAAGTACAATTCTCAACCTGCAGAAATCTTCTTAAATAAAACCTAATGGCCTGCATTTAAAATAAACTGTTTATGTACAGCACTTATCCTTCAGACTCCCTTATTTATCCTCCAAGAGAATCAATTCCTCCTGCTCATCTTGCTGATCCACTCTTCCTGATTCCTCAAGAGAGCTGCTGTGACCCGAGGCGTGTAAGGACCTCAGCTACAGAACATATAGTGCTTATATACCGACCTTGTAGCTACGTGGTTTGGGTCAATGTGCCCTTTGCTAAAGCCAAGCCCTTTTCTTTTGTGCCTGCCCTTTTTCAGAAATGCACTGTATGCATCTCCCTCTGCTTTGCTGCCCTGTGCTTAAAACTACAGCAGAGTCCCCATGGGTGCTGTGTGAGACAAAACTTTGCTGTAATACAACACCAGTCATAATCTTCTTGTGCTGTTTAGAACAAAGTTTTCACAGCACAGAACATGAAAGGTAATCTTTTTGACATTGTTTGAGGTGAAAACTCAAGCGAAATATAATAATAATTTTAAAAAAAACCTGTGAAAACTGCTTCATTTGTATGTGATAACAAATTCACAGCTGTAGCAAAAACTCAAGACATGAGTTCAGTGAGTGTGTGCACCTGCTGTTGCTGCAGTCGAAGATCAGCCAGTTCTTGTTGGTCTTGACCGTGCAGTCGCTTGAGCTCCTCGCAGTTCTGTTTTAGGTGATTGTGTTCTCGAACAAGCTGGGCATTGTCCCTCCTGAGTGTTTCCATTTCCTCCTTCAGCTGAGCCTGGTCGCCCAGTACACGGCTGTGCAGCATGCTGTGAGGCGCGGTGACACAAGAGAAGAAAAGTTACAACTCCCATGCAGATATACCAGATTAAGCAACGAGGGAAGCATTTTCCCACCCTGACCGCTCTCACTTTAACTTTTTTCCAATTTTTCCCCCCCGAAAATTCAAAATAAAATAGAAGGACACACCACCCTTCACAATGACCCTGCGTCCAACTCTAGAGATCGCACCCCAACAGTTTGAGAACCACTGCATTAAAGTACCCCGTAAAATGTTACACCTCAGCTGGAACATGCTAAACTCAAAACAGCTAATCTAGAAACTGTCGCTGTGCTTCAGAAATGTTGCCTCAGCTCATGAGCTATTAAGCAGAATGATTCAATCACATAAATGCCTTCATTTCCAAGCTTTTAAACCCATACAGGTTTGCTGTGGCGCCCTTTCAATGTGAAAGCTGGCTGTGGCTTCAGGGATGTTCTTTCAATTACGTTAATGGAAGCACCATGCCCGTATTTGTTACAAAAGCAGTAAAACAATGCAATAAAACTTAATTATTTCTATGCAGGAGAGCAGCAGGTGGCATGTGACAGAATGTTTCATCTACATTTTTCAGTAACGAGTAAAATCATGCAACCACTTCTGCTTTCATGTACAATCTAAGGCACTAAATGAACTGCACAGACTAATAATGAATCAAGACTTCATCAAATTAACACTAAAAACAGGTATAGGATATTTGAAAGAGAAATGCTTACTGGTAAAAGTCCGCCTCCTTTACAGCCTCCTCGCATCTCTTCAGCGTTTTGGTGTGTTGGTTCTGGAGCGACTGCAGATCTGCCATGGCTCTCATGCACTGACTTTTTAGACGCTCATAGTCATGGCTGGCTTTGGGATTCGGCCTGAAGGAGAAAAGCAGCAAGGGGTCAAAACTCGACTAGGCCTTGGCGAGGAACTAACAACTCAAGGGAAAATAATTAGATTTTCTTGGTGTGGAAAAATTTATAAGACTTGAATAAAATATGTGACCCATCACATCGAAACGAGGATTAAGTCTGAAAGTTGTATGCGGAGAAATAGGCAGATAGTGTTTTGATTAAAACGCTTGCAAAAATTACATTTTGTCAAAATATAACAAATAAATGTGTTATCATTGTATCATTTCAATGAACTGTCTGAAATATTATCCTAAAGATTTTTGAAGCACTTTTTTTGAGAATTACCAACCAAAAAACAGATTTTGAGGAAAAATGTCTTAAAATGTTGAGATTTTCCCTGTGACCTATCAAGGCTTTTGTTTCTTTCCAGCTGGGAAATCTCAATATTCAAATCCTATTTGAGGTTTCTTTTTTGAAAATGACATAAAAAAAAATCCTCATTAAAAGTACATAAAATTAGGATTTAGACCAAATATTTATGTATTATTGTAAGCAACAAGACAAATTAAATAATATCTCTGGATCTACTAATGATAGCAGGATGATCTAAGTATCTAAATGTAGCTTTTAAAGCCAGGAATCTGAAAATATGATTAAGTAATTTTGACCAGTTTGACTTAATCCTCATTTCGATGTGATGGGTCACATATTTGGTTAAGCTTTTTTAGAAACTAGGCACAAATGTAAACAAACAGCTCATTTATTGCTAAACTGTGACAACAAAAATATATTCTAACTCAGTAAAGTCAATAGTTTCCATGCCCTCTCTCTGTGCACATGAGCAGGAAGTGATGACCAACTAACAAAAGATACTTATCAGCCTGGAAATGAAACACAAACATTACCCATCAAACTATGCAGCTTTAAAAGAAATAAATCCTGGTGTGGTGTTTTTATTAATTTAGAAATTATCTACAACACAATCATAAAAATGGGCAGCAACAACAACAGCTTAGAGGACGGGCCAAATTCTGCACCTGCAGTCATCGAAGGTGGTCCCAGGCGATGCCAACGCCAGACGCTTGCGAAGCTCATCTCGCTCCCTGGTCACCTGGCGGAGCTGCAGTAAGACGGTGTCCAGGTTGTCACTGGCGTGTCGGTTGTCATTAATCGCTGGGGGAGGGGAGGATGCTTCACCATTAACGGGTGAACCTGCAACAAAGAGCTCATTACTGGAGGCTTGAGTGACTGATCGTATCATGCAAAACAATGTCCTCATGCAACAGCAACACTTTAATAACAAATGTTATAGCATATGCTAATCTGAGCACTTCTATAAACATAATTCAAGTCTGTGAAAACGCTTCCAAACTGAAACTGATATTTTGGAAAGTCTTCTAAGATGTTTTCTTTATGCCTTATATTTTGTGTTCATTATAAAAAAATGCTAATACATTTGTACGAGTTTGCCACAGTGGTAACAGGTTGAGCCTACTTTGTGACACTTTGCCAAATAGTCAGATTGCATTAAAAGAAAAATACATTTTCTGGGGTTGTCTTCTTTAAAAGAACACCCACAAGCAGGATGTCTAGGGATTATGTGCATCTTTGACTCAACTTTTGGACCTTTTAGTGCTTTATGTAACACAGCTGAGTCATCTGGATCTTTGTCAAAATGAGGGAAAGGCAAACATGGCAAACTTCCTTGAAGAATGATGGGGAAATTGGCAGAGCGTTATTGCACACAATGTGGAGCTTAAGAGGACAAATAAATCTCTGACTTCCTGTCGTCTGTATCGGAGTTGGTGTAAACACCTCCTTACAAAACAGAAACTGGCCTTACGGACTTTAGGTAGTTTTTGATGTCTGATCGCTAGATTGTACATACCAACACTGCTGAGAGAACTACTGCTTTCTGAGTCAGATGGCATGGTGGACAGAACGCTGTATGTGGACCCTGCCAAGAGAGGAGATACAATCAGATGTACAGCTTCGACAGATGGGTGAACCATTACACACAGGCTTGACAAATAATACACAGTCAGCTCCACATTACATGCACAGTTGTATGATAAATGTGGAGCAGGGTTTGTGGTTGGAACAATACCTTCAAAGCTCCTTCTTAGCAGCTCCATATTCTTACTTTAGTCTTTCGTTGTCATTAAACCATCCTTCGCTCTGTGCTATCTGCCTTGCTTTGATGTATAGCCCCTGTATGTTTCTGCTACACAGGCAAAATGTCACGGCTGAAATGGGATTCTCCCTTTTTTATGCCGCATGCATAGACAGAAAGAAAATGACTGAATGTAAAAACTGTTAAGCTGGGGGGTATTTTGCCCAGGATACCACAATTCATAGGAGACAGAGAAGATCTCCATTAAATAACAGAGTTCCTACTCCAAATGGGAACATAAAGATGGCCGACAGGACAAAAAGTTTTTTTATCGGCATATTTTTGACTTGTGACGGATACTGAACGAATCTATTGCATAGAATATTTTCCACTTCAAATTCTCCGATTTTTAAAAGGTAAGTTGCAGTTGAACTTGTTTCTACTGATGCTTCTTTTAATGAGAACATATCCAAATGTTTGTCTGCTGAAATCTGCCAGAAGTTGACACTTTCCTGAAAGTCCTTTTTTGCAGTCAACTTTTTTTACAGCAAGTTGGATAAATTTACTCAACTAATTTATCAGCCTCTCCTGTTTTACTTATTGTGAAAGAGACATATTAAGAGTAAATTAAAACTTTTTTATGCTTGAGACAATTATCTGACATTGAAGCCAACTCAAAATTATAAGTTAAAAAACAAAACATGAGCTTCCTTCAACTTAGTATTGACTAACAGTGAAGCTACAGGATTTATATAGCAGGAGGTTGATGAAGTAAGATTCCACTGGTGTATTAGGCAGACTTAGTTAGTCTTTAAGTTAGTTTAGCAATTTATGTTGTAATGTTATGACAGACTCAGTTCAATGTAAAACTAACAAGACTGTACCTAAAAGAGCAATTGTTAATTATAAACTGTAAAACTGCAGATGATAATTTAAGTATTTTAAAGGATTAAAAACAGCAAATTGAGATTTTTTTCTCTTTTATCAAGTTACAGCTTGCTGTATCAGTATGAGCTATTGTGAAAGGTCAGGCTACATCAGGGGTCTCCTACCATCATGAGCTCATAGTAGTTCTTCAGTGCTTATGGAAAATTAGGAGTAGCAAAAGTGAATTTGTTACTGGCCAAACTCTCATTTATATCCAATCAATCCATACATGTCCCTCCCCCTTGGTTGTCAATCAAATCGTTACTTGTGCCAAAAGTAGCTCTTGAACAATTTCATTTGGTGAAAGTAGCCCTTAAAGGGCCAATATTATGTGTTTCTCAGGCATACATTTAAATACTATACCATAATCTATGTCACCTTCAGTTGTTATTAAAATGCTGTTTTTATGTTTAAATAGTTTCTGGTCCCCACCTGTCATTTTGCTTCCTTCCTAAAAACACTGCAGGATTTCTCAAACATGCATGAATGTTTGAGAAATCCTGCCAGAGCCAGTTGAGGTGGCTCGGGCATCTGGTAAGGATGCCTCCTGGACGCCTCCCTGGTGAGGTATTCCGGGCACGTCCCACCGGGAGGAGGCCCCGAGGAAGACCCAGGACACGCTGGAGGGACTATGTCTCTCGGCTGGCCTGGGAACGCCTTGGGGTTCCCCCGGAGGAGCTGGAAGAAGTGGCTGGGGAGAGGGAGGTCTGGGCCTCCCTTCTGAAGCTGCTGCCCCCGCGACCCGACCCCGGATAGGCGGAAGAAAATGGATGGATGGATGGATAGTTTCTGGTCCCCACCTGTCGTTTTGCTTCCTTCCTAAAAACACTGCAGGATTTCTCAAACATGCATGAATGAGTCAAAGCAAGGCTTTGGGCATGTTTTTTATGAGAATATAACAATATAACATGATATAAAACTCAAAAAAGTTGATTTTACATGATATTGCCCCTTTAAGGAAAAAAAAAGGTTGGAGACCCCTGGGCTAGACCGTTTTAAATGTAATGCACAAGGGGTATTTGTAAAATCTCAAATGATAAATGTTTCACAGAAAAGAAGGGACAAGTGGAATTGGGTATCATTAAGTTCCTAAAATTAGCTTTTTTTGTATTTTGACTTTAAGGACAGCACAGAAAAAGCACTCAATTAATCATGTGAACAGATTAAATGTAAAACAAAATATCCCGAGACTCCCCACCACCAAAACTGGCACATATTTTGCTGTCACATAAAGTGGATTAATTTAAAGAGATGCTCATTCAAACGTAATGCATGGGAAATTAGAAGTCAGCTGCATATCAGATCTGAATAACTGTAAATAGGATTTAATTGTATTGTACTACATGAGAGACCAATAAGATTCTGAATTTAAGAAGGTGATAGACATTTGAACCTAAACAGCTGTTGTTGCAGAACTATAGCCAAAAAAAAACTTAAAATGTGTAAATAGCAATAGAAAATTCACGTCTTTCCATGTCTTGCAAGACAACAATTGTACAGGATTGTGCTTAGCTCAAAATTCACAGTCAAGTAATAATAGCACAGTCTAATTTGAATTTACTAAAATGTTTAAATGTGTGATAAATGAACTGTTAACAGGTTTTCAGAAAGTGTTGAAAGGATGACTAGTGATGTCAATGCCAGTCAAGCAATAGATTGATGGCAACAACTCTGGACTTCCATTCCTGTCCTTGCCTTCCCACTGGCTTTAGCTTCAGCTCTCCTGTGTGACGAGGCCAAGCCTAATTAACTATGAGCTCTGTGTGACTGAGCCACTCCATCTTAGGGCCAGCAGACAGAGGAAAGGAAAGGGTAACAAGGAAACGTGGAGAAAGCATGTACAAGGGGAGATAGCCTCACTTAATCGTAAAAAAAGATAAGGAGGGAGTGCGGATGAAAGATGAAGAGGGAGGGAAGCAAGGGGGGGAGAAGCTGTGAAGAAGAGAGCAGAGCAGAAAAGGGCTTTTAATTTGTTCTGACACTCCTTGTCTGATGCTCAACTCTTCTGCAGTACAAAGTGCTCAAAGCGAGCAGCTTTGATTTTATATTGTTCAAAAAAGACATGATGAGAACTACTATTGAGCCGCACATTAATAATTCTTAACAATCTATGTGTGAAGTTTTACTTATTTCTTTGGCATCATTCAAAAGCCACAATTTACTTCCTGAACCCAGTGTGTGACTGACAATGTTTCCCAGTAAAAGACGTGAGGTGCTGAGAGGAATTATAGCAGCTTGGATAAATCTTTTTAAATTGCCTTCCAGACAGTGCCAGTAAAGCTCTCATTCAAAAAAATGACTAAAAATGAAGCTTATTGGGATAGCCCAATAGCAAAGTGATGAGTGTACATACCACAGGGGCAAAAATTCCCTTACCAACCCTTAGCCAGAAGGACCTTTGCTGTCATGTCATGTCCTTTGCTCTCTTTTCTCCCAATTTGCTGCCTACCTCTAATATAAACAAAAAAGGGGGAAAATAATCTTTTTTGATCCACTGATCCATTTCTGCTTGTTGTTTTGGAGCTGGGTTTTGGTGGGCAGCAATTTGAGCAGGGAGGCCTAGACATCCCTTTTTACAGCCATCTCTTACGCAAGCATTTCAAGGCGTTTCCAGGATAGAAAAGGGACACAGACTCTGGGTTTCCCCTGGGTTCTCCTCCCAGTAAGACATGACTGGATTACTTCCCTAGGGGGGCATCCAGGGTTCATTATTACCAGATGCATGAAACACCTCAACTGGTTCCTCTTGATGTGAAGGAGAAGTGACTCTACTCAGACTCTTTCCCAGATAACTTACTGGTAACTTCTCACCCTATTTCTAAGGGAGAGCCCAACTACCATGCAGAGAAAACACCTTTTGGGTGCCTTTTAAAAGTACAAAAAAAAATCTCAACTAATTTTAAAAACTTTTATAATGTAATATTTTTGGAATATGCAATTAGAATTGAAAATACTCCAATTAAAACCCAGTAATCTCCTTAAACCTCACAAATATGGCAGTTCTTGGACAATAATCCATACCTGTGAAATTCAGCTGCAAGGACAAATACGTGCACTACAATTCCCATATTTAGATGAGTACCATGTGATGATAATTTAGCTCAGTAAGCACAACAATAAATGCAGTATGGGTTACATGTCAGATGCACATCGGCTGACTAACGATCCACGATGTGTCAGTGGCAACAGGCTTTTTATTATCGATACTAATTAGCATTAGCCACAAACCATGAGGCAGATCATTTGTAAACACATTCATAGCATCAATAAAATGGACATCCATTAGGGAAGCATGGATCTGATGCTCTACAGCAGAGGAATCTACATCTCTGCCCAAAGAGGTAGACAATACGATTAGAAGTTGAGGAATTTTACTTCATTTTCATGTTAAATCTCAAAATAAACACACCAATGTCACATGTGAATACAGACAAATATAGAGAGATATGCTCTAAGGTGAAATATCCCAGTGGAAGACCTGCGGCGGTAGTAACAAAGGCCTGTTGCTGTGATCTAAATAGGTCAGGGGAATGCTCAGTACACCGATGAGGTTCCACTTCCCCCACTCCTCCGTCTGCCTCCCCTCACAATCAAGCCATGCACTAAGCCACCAACAGTTGCTTCAGACAACCAGATTATGTTCTCCAGCACATAAAGCATGATGACACACGTTGCCATGGAGAAACTGGATGAGAGGAATAGTGAATTCTTCAGCATGCAGAAAAAGAAAAGCTTCAGGGTTGGGAGGCTAGTAAAGGAGTGTCATATCAGAATAAAATGCAAAGCCGAGCTTACACTTCCCAAGGTTGGGAGAGACTAAATTATTCAGCAACAGATATTCAGTGTCTCCCAAAAATGTAACAATGCACATGATTATGATTGCAAAAAGATTTCCACTGATGCTTCAAACCTCTTTT